TAGACCAAATTCTTGCTTTGCAAAGTTTGGTCTAGGCACGCTCCATTGGAACCTCTGCAGCTCCTACCAGGACTCTGGATAGTCAATCAAAGCTCTCTAGAGGGGTTTCAAACACATAAAGAGCTGCGATTGGTCCATAATGGTGGGCCAATCATAGTGCTCTATCTGCTTAGTGAACAAATCACAGAGCTTTATCCGCTTTGTGGGCCAATCAGGGCACTCTATATGCCTGGTGGGTGGGATGATGCAACAGAGTGAAACAAGAGTATGTCACATTCTTTGTCCAGTAGCATGCAGAGATCATTTGAAAGACAACGGTAGAACCCGCCCCACAACCGAGAGCTGTCAATGGAGCGTTGCCAGACTAAATAATACATTTATTTAGTCTGGCTTGCCAGGCTACCTATTTCCTGCATTAGCCGCTGAAAGGAAATACACTCGGATTTGACTGAGCCAGTCTTTTCTATGTCTGAGAAAAATTTCTTACCCATCTTGGCTGGCAAATGCAGAAGGCTGCATTGATTTAGTGGTCAGAAGAGAGCGGTTCTCAGCTAGAAGCGGCTAACGGTTAGCATTAGCAACTCAACAATATGGCAGAACTCCTTCAGGCTTGTGTTAGTTGTGAAGATAAAATATCAGTATTTTTTTTTACACAAGAAAGAAGAGCAAACAGAGGCAGTGGAAGAGTCACATTGCTGTTAGCCAATCAGAGGCGAGGCATTCACATATCATGAATATTAATGAGTAAGACTCCAGATCTGTTCAGATGCATGTGAAACAGACTGACCGGTTGTATAACAAAAAGAACTATCAAACATTTCTCAGTGAAATGAATCCTTGCCGTAGTAAAATAACATTTGCATGAGCTGCTATGAAACTTTAGACATCAAAGCTGTTTTAGGGCTAGATTTCTCCAAACTGAAGCTGTTCGAGAAGCTAGCAACTAGGGTGTTTGAAATTTTTTTATCAAATATCCTTCTAGCACAAATCCAAAAACAAACAAAAAAAAACGGTAAAGATACCAGATTCTACTGTGAGAAAATATATGCACAGTTTATTGGTACATAAATAAAAACGTCACACAAAATCAATCAACAAAGTATTAGTTCAGACCTCCTCCGAATCAGGAGAAACAGTTTATGAGCACTTTAGTCAGAAAAAATAAAAAATAAGACAGGAAATCCAGTGGTGGCTACATGGAAACTAATTACATTATAAATATTAAATGCAGCTCATATCAATGGCTTGTTGAAGACCTCCTGGGCTCATAATTGTTTTTGAAAATTATCTAAGAATCACTGTACAAAAGCAATGTTTCTGGAACGTTCTGTGAAAGGCCAGTTTCACAAGGACACAAAAGATCAGAATTATTAATATCGCGTCATACCCCTGTCAAAACCCGTGCACGCGCATTGGGTCCACAGCGCGCGTGTGAACGGGACTCGCGAGCGAAAATATACATGGCAGCGCGCGTGTGAACGGGACTCGCGAGCGGAAATATACATGGCGAGAGGTCATTTGTGCACTGAGAGGGAGCAAACTGTGTCTGTGAGCGCACAAGGATGTGCACAAGTGACAAACCTGCGTGCGCGCGTTGTCAACGAGCACACGGCAGAGGAAAACGTGCGCGCGCGGCAGCCTCTGTGCGCGCTCGGCAGCCTCTCTGCGCGCTCGGTTTCTGACTCCTGCTCGCTCGGCTGTAAGGGTTTTGGCACTCTGGAGGCGTGGCCTGTGGCAGATCTCCTCTGTCCTCTGATTGGTTAGTGTACCCCGCACTTTACCCTCTACCTATCTATATAAAAAAGTCTACTAGTCAAGTAGTTGCTGGCATAGCTCAGTTGGAAGAGCGGGTGACTCTCGCCCCGGAGGATCCGGGTTCGAGGCCAGGCAAGGAAAATGCAGTAGATGTCATGTTAATTTTTCTTAATTTCAGGTATTTTACAGTTGTGACCGTTCAACTGTCATTAAACGTCCGAATGTTTGCTGGGCAGTGTTTTAAAAAGTGCACATAAGCTAGATGGTTTTAACCATATAAAATTACATTTTTTGTGATACTGGAAAAATACATACTGAAATAAAACTACTGATTGAAAACTTTATGACTGTGGTTGTACAATATATGACTCACTAATACACTGCAAACTCCCTTAGAGTGGGGCTTCCAGAGAGAGAGAGAGAGAGAGAGAGAGACAGAGAGAGAGAGAGAGAGAGAGAGAGAGACAGAGAGAGAGACAGAGAGAGAAAAGTTCTTGCCTCATTAATGAATTGTTTATTTTTTTCAGTATTTAATTGACAAATTATCCTTTCAAATAATTAATTGATGAGTTACATAATTGTCCATTTAGAATTGTTGAATGGACTGAGTCAAGTTTGGTGCACTTTATATATTTCAAAACATGTTTTTTTTTATTTTAATGATGCATATAAATAATTTAAATGTTAATTTAATGAAATATTTCTATTTTTTCATTACCTCACCCTTGTTTTGACAAAAACGGGACCTTGCTGGATAATATCATGGAGAAACTATTTGTTCACAGTACATGGCTCAGTGAGGATCTGTGTAAAGGAGGAGATACTCAGAAATCTGTCTGCAGATTGTTACAACCCAGACTAGAAGTGGTGGGCTGTAATAAGAAAGGAGACCAAACAGAGGAGTGGGGGTTCAACAACTGATTTATTTAACAAAAGTAAGGATTTACTAAAGCAAGTTAGTGAACAGAAAATGGCCATCTCAAGGTTTTACTCGGATGTCCCTCAGCAGGGTGCAGCACTGTTGAAGGTCATCTGAATGAAAGCTTGATATGCAGTTTCTTTATGAAAGTGTGTAAATATACAGTGTGGTTGCCGTACATATGTTGAGGTTCTCAGACATCAGGCTTCTTTGCCCAGGCCTTCACTAGTGGGCTATTTTAAAAGTTGGTAAGGAGAAAAACCACAGCATATAGCTGATTGTTTACAAATGCAAGGAGGGGAATAACAATCAAAATGCTTGTGTTCTTGGACCAGATGAATGGAGCGCTCCACATGCACTCAGAGATGTTATGGCTTCTGTTTCTATAACTTTACATGCAGACATTTGAGGTTTGCCAGAAAGGAAAGCTGGCCTGTACACTTTGCAGGGCACAATGTCATCAATGAAGAAACCCCTGTCTACCAAGATGACCATCTCTAGTTGTAGCATTTTCAACACACCAGATTCCCAGGTTGGTCGCTGATAGTTCCAGCATACAGTGCTGAGACAAAGGTCACTGGCCTATGTGGCACAATCCAAATGAGCCTCTTCAGAGTGCAGTTGAACTTGAGGAAAATATATGACTCTGGAAGAGAGGGGAATATGGCCATTGACACCTCAGATCAGTGCAGTCAAGAATTACTGGTGTTTGGGTAGTCCTGAACGTGTTGTGATGCCCCCACCATCTCATTGGGTTTTCATTTGTGTTTAATTGTCTTTTTCTTCTGTTGTAGGCAGCTGGTTAAGCAGCCTTGGAGGCACCTGGGCTCAGGGTGTGGTGCTGCCTACAAAGCCTACTGTTTTTCTGCTTTCACTGGGTCTCTCCTGTGTGGTGGAGAGTCCTCACTGGCCATTTTCTGTTCACTAACTTGCTTTAGTAAATCCTTACTTTTGTTAAATAAATCAGTTGTTGAACCCCCACTCCTCTGTTTGGTCTCCTTTCTTATTACAGCCCACCACTTCTAGTCTGGGTTGTAACAATCTGCAGACAGATTTCTGAGTATCTCCTCCTTTACACAGATCCTCACTGAGCCATGTACTGTGAACAAATAGTTTCTCCATGATATTATCCAGCAAGGTCCCGTTTTTGTCAAAACAAGGGTGAGGTAATGAAAAAATAGAAATATTTCATTAAATTAACATTTAAATTATTTATATGCATCATTAAAATAAAAAAAAACATGTTTTGAAATATATAAAGTGCACCAAACTTGACTCAGTCCATTCAACAATTCTAAATGGACAATTATGTAACTCATCAATTAATTATTTGAAAGGATAATTTGTCAATTAAATACTGAAAAAAATAAACAATTCATTAATGAGGCAAGAACTTTTCTCTCTCTGTCTCTCTCTCTGTCTCTCTCTCTCTCTCTCTCTCTGTCTCTCTCTCTCTCTCTCTCTCTCTCTCTCTCTCTCTGGAAGCCCCACTCTAAGGGAGTTTGCAGTGTATTAGTGAGTCATATATTGTACAACCACAGTCATAAAGTTTTCAATCAGTAGTTTTATTTCAGTATGTATTTTTCCAGTATCACAAAAAATGTAATTTTATATGGTTAAAACCATCTAGCTTATGTGCACTTTTTAAAACACTGCCCAGCAAACATTCGGACGTTTAATGACAGTTGAACGGTCACAACTGTAAAATACCTGAAATTAAGAAAAATTAACATGACATCTACTGCATTTTCCTTGCCCGGCCTCGAACCCGGATCCTCCAGGGCGAGAGTCACCCGCTCTTCCAACTGAGCTATGCCAGCAACTACTTGATTAGTAGACTTTTTTATATAGATAGGTAGAGGGTAAAGTGCGGGGTACACTAACCAATCAGAGGACAGAGGAGATCTGCCACAGGCCACGCCTCCAGAGTGCCAAAACCCTTACAGCCGAGCGAGCAGGAGTCAGAAACCGAGCGCGCAGAGAGGCTGCCGAGCGCGCACAGAGGCTGCCGCGCGCGCACGTTTTCCTCTGCCGTGTGCTCGTTGACAACGCGCGCACGCAGGTTTGTCACTTGTGCACATCCTTGTGCGCTCACAGACACAGTTTGCTCCCTCTCAGTGCACAAATGACCTCTCGCCATGTATATTTCCGCTCGCGAGTCCCGTTCACACGCGCGCTGTGAACCCAATGCGCGTGCACGGGTTGTGGCACGCTTTAAACGCCATATATTAACACTCGGTTCGGACCAGCGGGACAAACACGTGGAGCCGAAGGCACTGGGACAAATGCCAGAGCATTTAAAGACGGGATAAAAGTAAAAGCAGGATCATTCGTTAACACTTTTATTTAATCTTGATCGTTCCGGCCGGTGAATCGATCCCCACACAGGAAGAAAGATTCTCAGGATTTGTTTGAAGATTTCAACCGTTTGAGTTGTTTCACAGTACAGACTTACACTCCTGCGACTCGATGTTAGAAAAGTCTTCAAACATTCTCGTATTATCATTAGTTACAAAGTTAGCCACACATAGACACATGGCTTTATGTGCAGATGGACAAACGCTATGAATGATCCCTCAGTGTCTTTAATAAATACACGACAGTGTCGGACGCTTAGCGAGTTGATCCTATTTCTCCTCAGTCTCACAGCTTCAGGGTGAGTCGAGGTTTTAGGATTTTGTCCCCGTTTTATGGCGAGACAGGAGGTTTTGTTTCCTGTGCTCGTGAAGATCCAAAACAGTAACATCAGCAGGTTCACACTTCCTCCACAGCATCTGGACCAGCCCAGAGTGTCCACACACACATACACACACACTTGACCTGATGGTCACTTGAGTGAGAAGAGCAGTTCGGCCGTGTGGCAGAGCGACAGGGGGTGAGCCGACGAGAAGTACTGGCAGCACAGCCAGTCCTCCAGCTCGGCGTTCCTCTCCGGCTCCAGCGAGCGCTCGGCAAACTTCATCATCAGCAGGGCCCTTTTCACGTCCAGCCAGTTGAGCAGGCTCTCGTTTCTGGACCCGTCCACAAGTCCCCCCCCTTGCCTGCGTCTCTCCCACTGCTGCTCCATGAGCTCCCTCCTCGGGCCCCAGAGCAGACTCTGCAGTATGCGCTTGGCCTCCTGGATGTGGATGCGCTTGATGGGGTCGGGTTGGAGAAGGAGCTGCGCGAGCTTCTGGAGGCCCAATGAGTACAGGGAGACGGAGGGGACCGGGGGCAAGTCCTCGCACCGATAGTCCTGCTCCCTCAGCGCTGGACTCACTTCGAACGGGTTGGGCTGGTGGAGGAGCTCGTAGATCAAGATGCCCGCCTGGAACTCGTCGAATTTACGGTACTGAGCTGCCGAGACGATCTCCGGTGCCAGTCTTGCATGGTCACGTTTGACCCTGGGGTCGCCACATGTCACAGCGGCGTCCTCAGAGGAGCGCCGCTTGGCCTTGGCAAAATTGCTGATGAGGAGGCGAGGAAGGTGGCGCTGAACGTCTCCTCCAGCCACACCGTTGCATGCGTCTGCGGCCGGTTGGGTCACGTGGGAGGACCGGTGCTGATGAGGCACCAACAGCAGGTTCTCCAAGCACAGGTCGCGGTGTGTGACCCCGTGCTCCTTCAGGTGCTCCAGGCCGTTGCAGAGCTGCAGCAGGAGGAAGCAGACGCGACGCTCGTAGATCTCTGGCTGGGTTTTATGGAATACCTCCCACTCCCGCACAAAGTCTGCAGCCGTCTGATAGGGAATCTCAGGTGTGATGAACACCACTCTCTCCTGGTCCGTCTGAGCGGACGCAGGAGGATGAGGCAATGATGGAGGACCTTCGTCTGAAGGCAGCATGCTCTGGGGAACACAGGCAAGGAAATGGCCACAGTCCTGCTGAAGGTTGAAGTGAGGGGGGATGCTCTGCTGCACTGACAGGCCGTAGAGATGACCCTGCTTGGCCTCCATGGACGGACTCTTACAGATCTTGAGGGATAAACACACACAGAGAGGAGGAAAGTGTTTTTAGTTACATCAGAAGATCAAACAATAACCGTTTCCTGTTTTTTGGGTGAAGTCTGCAGTCCTGCTATTAACCTAGACATATTCTTAGGAGAGTTTCTGAAGCATGTGTGTGTGTTGGCCCTGACAACAGGGGTTTGTCTGACCGTAAATCCCTCCTGGAATGTTGAAGATGAATTGGCACTAGGAATATTAAGTGAGCGCCTGGGCAGCCGGCCCGTGGCGCAGCACAAACAATCCAAACTTTAACTGGAGCACAAAGATCAGCGAGCCAGACTCCACGCCCTGATCGCTGCCCGTTTACACGATGTGCCTCCGAGGCTTGTGACGTCACACCGGAAACCTCAGAACAAACCACGGCCATCAGAACCTACAGCTCTTTTATTGTATTTTTTTCAAACCTTCTCGTAAAAAGGAAACCGACACCCACGCGGCAAATCTATTTAGGACGCGGAAAGTTTTTGACAAACCAACTAAGACTTATTCTCTGAACTTATTCAGCTTTTGAGCTTCAAATTTGGTCGATTTAAACGTTGAAATGATTTATGAATTATTCCAATCAGACATGATTCCAGAATTTAAAATTTCAGTAAAAAAAATAAAGATTATTTCTCATTTTCCATTTCCCCCTTCGCTTCTACATGAAGAAGAAAGCATTGAAAACATCTTTTTTATTTACTTAGTGGGTTGTCCAGTAATCGGAAGGTTGCAGGTTCGATCCCGGCTCCGTCCAGAGAGTGCTGCTGTTGTGTCCTTGGGCAAGACACTTAACCCGCCTTGCCTGCTGGTGGTGGCCGGAGGGACTGATGGTGCCTGTGCTCGGCACCCAGGGTTTCCTCCAGAAAACTTGCTAGGCCTGGCGGACCGTAAGAGGGCCTCTGGGGGGGGCGCATGGATCGTTTCGCTACCGTCCATGACTGCAGGGGAGGGAACACCGTTTGGCCTGGCGGGGGGATTAAGCAAGGCCTGGCATCCCGCCAGTCTTTTGGGGAAAACCCTGGAAGCACCTATATGAAAACTGAGGCAGATATCGATTTCCAATATAAATCTTGCTGTTATGGCCAATAACCGATATATACCAATATGGTGTTTTTATTTATTTGTTTTTTATTTACTTATTATTTTAGCTCTAAGTATTTGACTAAGTAGAAAAATCTACACAATATATACACATCTATATTTGATGAAACAGATCATTTAACGTCAGATGTAGTGTTTGGCATCTGAGCGGTGTATCTGTAGGATGATCTGTGGGCTGGATCTAGATTCATATAGCACTCAGACCGGATCTGGATCACAATCAGGACTTTGAGGATTGCTGAAACCAGATACAGTTTGCTACTAGGAAAGCAGAGAGCAAAACAGCTTTAGCGTTAAACCCAAACATCAGTTCTCGCTACCAGATCCGACATCTCGTCTGCCTAAAGTTTATTTGGTTGTTCTATGAAGAAACCAGCTGCTGGTACTACTAGTTTAACATTTACTTATGTGTACCTTCACAGCGTAGGAGTTGCTGGGGTCTGAGGCGCAGGCAGCAGAGTAGTACACGGCGTCTCCAGCGTTGCAGCTCGGTTTGTTGGATGTCAGCCTGAACAGGGACCAGTTGCTCTCGTCAAACCTGAGCGGATTCTTCTGCAGGCGAGTGAAGTGGTCCTCGCATTTTAAAGCCAAGCGTCGCAGAGACTCGGCGTACAGGCCGCCCAGTTTGGAGTACACTCCTTCTCTGCTGTCGATGTTACTCAGAAGAGTCTGAAGCTGCAGGCTGGAGCCCAGGTTGGGTGCAGAACCCAAATCCGAGGCTGATAGGGGTGCGCTGAGCTGAGGGGAAGAGGCGATGGTGATGCTGGTTCGACAGTGAACTCCCAGGCGACCCTGGATCTTCAGCGGCTCATCCAGCGTCCTGGACCTCGAGGGTCGGCCTAGCGGGGTGTGGCAGCGCTCCAGAGATTCGTTGGAGGAGAAAACAGGTCTTGGGTCAACGGGACTAGCCGGCAAGCTGGCGCGGGAGCTGACCTCGGCCGAGTGGCACACGTTGCTCTCAGAGCCGGTGAACGGGAGGCGCGGGTACGCCCGGATGACGGGTTTCCCATTGGCACTATCAGGAGCTGACACGGTGCGGTTGACCATCTTCTTCTCTGGGAGAGGAGGAGGCTGGGTGCTCAAATTGTTGAAGGAGAACGAGTGAGGAGAACCAGGAGCTGATACAGTTCTGGGAAGAGGAGACAAACAAGACCTCCGGGTCGCATCCCGAGAACCTAAAGCAGAAAAGGTTTACATCAGCAGGGGCCGGTGTAGAGCATTCACACAGTGTTGTGTTTAATTCTGAGCAAATGCTTTAAAACCTAAATGTTCTCACAAATTCTAATAAACCCAATCGGCACATGACTCCTCCAGAAGAGCTGGAAGCTTCCACCTTCCTGGCTTCCATCCAACCCTCAGAACATCTTCCAACCAATTATGATCCATTTATCAATTAAAGACTTAGAGCTGGAACTCAACAGTCGACTCAAAGAGACAGACACGGATAATTGTGTGGTGCGCTCTTCAATCACTGCTTTCACAAAGAAAAAAACCAAAAGGATGCAGCCAAGCCCTTTTTCCCTCATTACCAGGGTCCATAATTATCTCTTACTCAGACAACATTGCCCAGGAAGTTGCAGCAATTACAAGCAACCGAGGCTTAAAGGCGACACCCCAAGGACCGTGAGGTACGGCTCGATTTTCAGAAGTCGTAACACACTCCCATGAGATAAGTTAGCAGATTTAACCCTGCAGCACTTAACCTTTTTATGCTGGAACAAGTCAGAAACTTTTCACATGACTTAAAGACTTAAAGAGCGAGTCACCCCCAAATCAACTTTTTTCCCCTGATAAACTAAACAAACGAGTGTCTAATCGTGCTGCAGACACGTGTAGTCAATAGTTTTGTAGTTTAGTGCATTTTAGGTAAAATCTTAATTTTCTGCCTAAAACTGGCAGTGTTGTGCCGTTGTCAGGTAAAAACTCTGCATTGTATTTGAATTTAAATCTGCCACCGCTATTGGCTAAGAGGTATGCTATGATGTAAACTGGTACATTATGATGTCACAATGCTGTGGTGAACCTGTGTGTGTCTGTATTTGTTAGCGGCTCCGCCCTCTCGGTCTGCCAGGCAACAGCATTTGTTGCATTTTTTAAACATGAAGTGAGAGTGGAGTTAGACTCTGGTAGGGGTGACTTGCTCTTTAAGTCAAAAACTGAACCAGATTTTTGTAGCAAGAGACTCACCGGTGTCAGCGGTCAGGTTGTCGGTGGTTGCAGCCGGGAGGCCGGTGCCGCCCAGACTGCGCTGGGATGGTGCTCGACTTTCTGCTGACCCTGGTTGGCTGCAGCCGATCAGCTCCATGCTGCAGTCGCTTATCTTAGCGCTCACTCTGCAAAAGGAAATCAAACACAATCAGGTGAAAATGAGCATGAGAGCAAGAGTTTTTTTTTTATTTGCATCCAGAGATTTGCTGTGTGATGCAACGGTTTGCAAATGTGGAACTGATTAACTTCCTCTTCATGCTTAGTCTTATTTTCATTTTATTTGCACCAATGCTGATAGATCCAAGAAAGAGACCATGTTTTATTAAAAATATAAACACAGCCTACAGTGGTTTCACTTCCTCTCACTGAGGCACACTTCTTTATTCTGAGCTGTTGTTTTTTTGTTTTTTGCTGCAACAAATAAGACCCCCCATGACAACAAGGCTCATGAACTGGTTCAAACTGCTGCAGGCTGCATGACGTAGCAACTGGTAGTACTGTTGCACTGCAGCAAGAATGTTGCAGGTTTAGATTCTGGCTGCAGCATTTCTGCAGAGTTAGCCTCCGTGCATGTATGGATTTCTCCAGGATTCGTCCCACAGAACAAAAACATGCATGTTAGCGCAATCGCTCTGTTCTCTCCTGTAACATGTAGCAACACCATAGAGGTATGTTGGGTTTGCTCACAACTTAGCAAACGTTTGTGTCATTTTTCTCTTTTGTTCGTGTGGCCAAAGATTCAGGGAGCAAACGGTGATCCACACCTTTATACTCTTCTGTTGGGAATACTTCGGTCCAGGCATGGTTATGTGGCAAATATACAGATACAGACCAAACACGCCTTATAAAATCTGCAGGCGCATGACGTTCATCCGAATCACAACAGGAGCTGATCCATAACAGTCTCCAAACCAAAGTTGGCACAAGAAAGGGGGTTTGCTATGTATATGAGCCTCTAAAGACAGACTTGGCTCATTGTATCTGTCAACTAACACGGACTGAGTACTTGTATCATGTTTTTAGTATTTTTTCCCCCAGATTCGACAAAAACATACATTAAAACTTCATCTCTCTACATAAGACAGCTTCTGCTATTCTTTCAAGGAATGCTTCACATTAAACTTAGATGTTGCTGCCTTGGAACAAAGCAAAACCAATATCGATCTACATCCAGATCCAACACGGGTTTCTTTTCCTTCTTCAGCTCCCTGACCAACAGGACAACTTCCCACAATGCCAATGCAACGACTGCACATGCTCAGGGAAGCAGGGTCCCATTCCTCTCCTTCATCACTTGTTCTTCTCCTCCATCTCAAAACCAGTTCTCTATCAATTCATCTATTGGCCTTTGACTTCAATTCAACCATGAATGAGGACAGCAAACAGAAGGAGAGGAGTGCAGAGGGAGGAGAGGATGGTATTCTCTCTGGGCAGTTGGCCAAAGGAGCGGATATCGTCTTCCAGACAAAAAAAAGGGTGATGAAAGGCGGAGGAAATACTGCAGCACGGGACAAATGATAATGGGTCTAAGGACGATGAAGCAATGAAACACAAATTTTTCAGGTACATCGTTGAATAATTAGCTGGACCCGTTTCCCCTTCCTTGGAATGCCCAGTTTCAGCCTAAACATCCTGACTATTTCCTCTGAGAAAGATCTAATCAGCCTTCTTTCTGACACAAAATACAAAGATTGTCCCAGAGAAAGAACCCGTCACACCACTTCTGCACCCTTATCAGTAACCCAGATTCAGAAAATAAACAGCTACGAATCGTTCAGCAGCGGGAGGGTGACAGAAACTGGTGAGGCTTTAAAAAGAGATCAGGTTTAGGTTACATGGAACTGAGTAGCAACAACGAGACACAAACAGCGTTGCTGTCGTGGTTCACGTAACTGGTTTCACTTCCTGACTTATTCAGGGAGGCGTTCCTGTGGTAAACACACAAAGCGACATAACCTAAGAAGCACGTGTGCCTCGCGTCTTTTATACGTGCAAAAGTTCACACACGCACACCTGTTCTAGCACGCATTAGGGGTTTCAGGGATATTTATGTTTTAATAATCTCCTAGTCCTAATCTAAGATTGGAGTGTGTTTGTTAAAGGGAGTCGAGCAGGCTGACTCAGATTTTACTCAGCGTGTTGTGAACTGCACAGGATGACGTGATGCAATCAGCTTCGATGGCCGTGCATCAAACCCTCCAAGAAGGAGAAGCACTGACGTGTGTTTGAGTGAGACCCCTGCCTAAAGTTAGTTTATCACACTGGGTTACAGTTCATCCTCCTTGTTGTGTCCCTTTAAGTTAAGAAGTCTGACTGTAGGAGAGTTACCAAGGCCGTACAGTCATATAAACCAAAGGTTCATTAATGTTTGACACAAATCCTTGTTATCTTTCAAAAAGGGCCCAGTCTCGTCTCGTTATCGTCCTCTTTGGTCAGCCATCTCCTTCACCCCCAGCCTACTTTCATTTAAATGCAAAACAGGCTTCTGCAAATTGTGTTTAGCCACATCTGGCCTGCTCATGCTCTTAAACTCAACGGTATTTGAATAAAAAAAATGCAAACAAAAGACAAGACGCAAGCTGTTCAGCACACTGTAACTACCAACACCTTTACCTCCACAGCTCAGAGAAAAAGATGTGAAAAAGCAGAGACTTCTGCTTACCTAAAAAAAAAGAAGTGGTTACGTGTGACTTTTAAAGACAAGATCTTTATCATTTCCCATCATGAGACTTACTCATTTCCTGACCACATGAGAACAAAAGTAGCCGTCAGGTGCCTACCTCATGCTGCAGAGGTCCTTTTTGGGCCGATGGGCACACAGAGTGCCCCTGGATCAGACTGGTGACGCTCTAAAGCTCGGTCATGTGTAGTAACATAACCCTGGTTCCACACGGGTCATGAGTATATTTAAAGTGTCTCAGCAAAGAAAAGCTACAGACTCCCATTAGGTGTGTGGAATAAATTTCCTCGCGTGTAGAACTCAGCCTTTCCAACACCGGCTCACTTTTAGTCTGTCAGGCATCAAGATGCTATCTGTTTAAAAGGATCGCCAGGGCTCTTGGCAGGGAGGGGCCGACGCCTCAGAAGGCTGGTTTACAGGGCAGAAAGCAACCCAAAGCCAAGTCAAACACAACGGACTTGACTCCACATGGCTGATCTATAAATTCTACTTCTATTGGTGGCAACTGATAGCCAGGCTGGGACCATTTGGGAGTTGCCAGGGGCAATAATCTGTTCACTTTAAGCCCCTCCTTTTGGCAACAGTCGCTGTCCAGTTGAGACGCCCTCCTTGTTAAAAGGTACTTTAGTGCACACTCCTACATTAACAGGTACAAACAAACACACCTCTCAGCATGACCTGACACGACCCGTGAGTGGACCTGTTACTCTGAACTTGGGAGAGAAAAAAAAAAAGCACCATGTGTGTCATCCATGCTCCTGAGGGTACAATGTTCAAACCAGCTGGTTTTTAAATGATTCAGAAGAGGAAAAATGCTGCTTCATGCAGGGTGCTTTTATATTTTCTTCTCTTTAAAGATAAAGTTTATTAATATTTTAATACATTCATAAACAATGAATGCCTTGTAAGTCGTTCTCTGGGGGAAAAAAGCTCCGGTACGCCTGTTTGAGGATGTAGAAGTCAGCCGGAGAAGAAAGGAGCAGCAGACAACAGGATTTGGACTCATTTTCTAATATTCAAACATCTGTTTGCTTTGCAACTTTGATATTTTATCTCCACAAAAAAAGCAAGCCTGGATGAGTTCTGCTGCTAATGCTAACAGTTAGCTTCTACTAGTCGAGACATTCTCTGCTGTTTCCTGGATGCTAAACCAAACTAACTAACCTGGATCTCTGGGGCTTGGAGTTCCCTCCATCTTCTACACATCTTTTTTTTTTGGGGGGGGGGGGGGGGGGGGGATCTGTGGCCCCTCTCACTCAATATTGGACGCTCCTATAGAGAAACCTTACATATTAAGCGCGTGTACACACACAGGTGCTCTCATGGTGCTCTCATAAGTATGGACTTGGGCACGTTCAACACATGTCTTAAGGCTGTGGTTGGCACTTAATGCACTGTGATTTATAATCGTTTGATTGTTCAGTAAAACAATGTTGATTTTATATTTCCTCATCAGGTTGACACAGTGATAGGTTACTCTAGTTGTATTGTTGTGTGTTGTTTTTCTCTTTCTGCAGGTCTAGAAGCAGACCCCCCCCCCCCCTTCTCTTTCACCTCTGTCTCCGTGTCTGGTCGGAAATATAAAGCATTCAAAAAACAATAACAATACAGTTTTAAGTATCAGGCGTGACATTAAAAGCAGCAGCTTTGATGCTCCACCTGAGAGCAAATCTGTGAGGCTTGTCACCAGCATTCAGGCATTAATTCTGTTTGCTTCACAGCCAGACAGGACGCGGGAAAAAATATAAAAAAATAACTAACAGATCTGTCAGGATTTTCTAATCCGAGCATTCCTCTGTCTATTTTTCTATCAGAAGTTAAAACAGGAGATAGGTGTGGTAGACTGCTTTCACGTTCAGCCTGCATAAAAACTCAGATTGACTGATCATTTTCAAAAATGATAAGCAAAAAATGGTTTCTCAGTGAACATTACCTTTAAACTAATATAGCAATTTCCGCTATTTAGAATGAATTCAACAGAAAGGCAGCAGCAAGAGTTTGACTCTCTGCAGCATTTTTCCCTTCAGGGACAGTAAACTAAAGGTAGCCTGGCAAGACAGACTAAATAAATGTATTATTTATTATTTATTTATTATTATTTATTTATCAAACTTTGCAAAGCAAGGATTTGGTCTAGTTCACTAGGCTAAACTAAAGCTGCTGTAACATAGAACTCCACAAAGTTGTAGTAGGCTGGCTTGGCTAAACCAGGGTTCCCACATGTGTCTCTGTAAAGTATTTTTATCAGTGCAGAATGTTGGCTATGTCACAACAGGAGACGGGTCCTTACTGTGATGACAGCAAACATAAAGGCCCTTAAATGTAATCAGCGTTTGTTTTGTGACTACAAACTTTTCCGGCTTGGCTTCAGTTGAGTCTATGTCAAGATAACCAAACTTGTTTTCAGGAAGTTGCTTCTTCAGTGTCCCAGGACGACACAGGAGCTCTTCTCTGTTCCTGCTCAGATCGCAAAATGTATTCTTATCCCCATGATGACTCAGTTTAAGTCAAAAATAAACATGCAAGATAAAGTAAAACATAGAGGAATTTAAATTAAACTACGGTCTAGCATTTCCTCATCAAGGAAAAGACAATGGTCACCAGTATAATTACGTCTATTTGTGCAGGAGCCAAAACACCAGAGCAACGTGACACAGCAGTGGACGGTCTACAAAGCCGATTTTGTGCATGAATTAAAACTGAATAAGTCACAATGCAGCACAAACAGAACAAGGGCGAGCATTGAGGATTTTGCTCCAACAGTTTGAATGATCACAGGGTGATAGAATGGAGGCTGATTCAAGGCTGAATAATGATGCTGTGAAAAGGAGAAGGCTCTAACACTCACATGGAGGTAGCTGCAGTATGGTGCATGAATTTGTAGTCACATGCACTGAACTACAGCGTACAGCAGCTCTATTTTCTATTCATGACATGAAAGGAAAACCCAGATGTGTGATTAAACATCCATATGACTTTCTTTTGCACCGCTGTCTAGCTGTAAACAATCATTTAGACCATCTTCTCTCAAGGTGTCTGGTTTATTTACTGTGTTTCGTCCTTATTAAGCATAAGGAGTATTTATACTTCTCTCTAATGCAACAATTTAGGAAATGAAAAGCCACCTTTCCAAAGGTACCCTTGGGGATTTGCACCCATGTTTATTTTCAGCAGTTTTAAATTAAGGGTAAAACATCACGAATTAAAGTTTATTATTGTAAACTGATAATGGATATGTAAGCAGTGGCACAGCCTTAGTTAGCCTCTTAGCTTTTGATGTCCATCTAAAGTTTCACTAGTAAAAAACATTTTTCTAACGACCGCTCAGACGCTTTGTTAGTGGCATATCATGTTTCCTGGTTAAAGACTGTAAAAAGCTGAACAAGTAGTTTTTTTTTCATTCTTACCTGTGGAGTTTTTTAGGTGGGGGAGGTGGTGGATTGGGGTCATTTTTGACAGCTCCTCTCCCTGCTGTCTGCAGCTCTGATGAACCACCGTGCAGCGTTAGCTTTGCCGGCATGCTCTCGTTATGCTTGCCCTCCTCCTCTGTGCCGGTGCCCTCAGCCTCCTCCTGACAGGCACCATTGTTGGGGGCAGCTGGGGGGGCCGTGCCTGGCTCCATCATTGGAGGGGGGCTGCTGTGGACATTGTAGTCTCTGGCCTCCTTCCAGACAGCAGCTCCATTGACCAGGCCTGTCATCGAGGAGGCTGTCCCAAAGCTGGCACCTACCCTTTTCTTCTCCATTCCTTTTCGCTCCTTTTCTTCCTCCTCCTCTTCTTCATCAATGCGGCAGCTCCAACCAGAACTGTGGTGGAGGGGCTTGTGGGGGCGCTCGGATGGCGTACTCTGGTTGTCTGTTGGGACACTGAACTGGCCCTCTCTCGAAGAAACGAGGAAAAACATGGGAAGTTCCGGGAGCGGGACAGGGGAGGACATAGATGTTGAGAGGCTAGAGGCTCCCAGTTTAGGAAATTCGGGAAGAGGGACTGGAGAAGACATTGATGGAGATAAGCTGGAGGTACCCAGCTTAGGGGAACGAGAGCTTCTCTTTGGAGGGATGGGTGGGCTTGATTGGGGCTTGGGTTGAAAGCTAGGGGGTAGGGAAGCTTCCCTGCTTAGACAAGGTGCACTGCGACTGGGGCTGGGCCAACGGAAAGCTGGACTGCTGGGATCTTTGCATGATGTTGGGCTGAAGGTGCACTGAGTGCCGATGGAGGAATCTGGGCTGCTTAGGTAGAAAGTCCTGTTGTTCTTCTCTGCATGCGTAGCCATTACAGTGATGGTGGCCCGTTCAAACTTGGTGCACTGGGATAACCTTGTTTGATTTGGCGATTCGGGACAAGATTGATGTCCAGTCCCTGACTTGGGCTTTTTCTTAGTGCTCTCAGCATATATTGGCTCTGAGTCCGCTTGTACATTGGGAGAGCTGGGAGTTGACTCTGGACTACCCATGGACAGTGGGCTTTGGGGACTACATGACACCCCCAGTCTTCCCACTGACCCTTCAGGCCCAGGAAGTGAATCTGTACTGCTACGATAAGAAGAATGGGAGTCCGATAAGCTGCTTTCTTTAGACAGAACAGGGCCAGAGTTGAGGGATGTTTGGCTACTGAGGCAAGAAACGTCCACATTTGAAACTGTGGTGTGGGAAACGGGAGAAGGGCTGGATGTCTTTGTTATCCCAGTGGCAACGTTACTGCTCAAACCATTACAATGAACTGTGGCAGGATTTGAAGGGACAATATCCACTGACAAAGGAATATCCACAGATGCTCCACGGGACTCCTTAAAATTAGTCCTGGTTGTCACACCACTTCCATTATGTGTACTCTTGTTCCTAATAGGAGCCACGTTATTCTGCTGCCAGCACGAGTCCTCATTTGTATTTTTCTTTAAACTCTGACAGCCTCTACTGCCCTCGTTGCAGACTAAGATATTGCTTATGATCATGGAGTCTTTTGGCTGGATGCTGGGAGACAAGGAAAGGCAATTGTTGTAGTCAATCTTGGCATCAGGACTTTGAAGTAACGTGTCTCTGTGAGCCTTGTTACAACCGTTGTTATCGATGTAAAGCGGAGACATGTTTAAGAGCTTCTTCAAGCCCATCCGCTCAGTTGGGCTCTTTGTATTCTCCTGCTGCAAATAGAAAGAGGCACACACGTAAAAACTCTCAAAACAGAAAATAATACAGGTGATAAAAACATTAGAGATGTACCTGCTCTATATTCATGTTCATGTCTTTTGGCTCACTGGAGTCAAGGCTCATCATAGTGGGTTTGACAGCGATGGTTGGCTTGCTGTAGGGCGAAGGCGCGGTCAGTCCAGCTTCTTCATCGCCTCCCAGGCTGCTCCTCAAACAAGCTGCTGGTACGCCTTCGTCCAGGATGCTGACCTTCTTGTGCGCGCTGAGCGGGTGGAAGCAGTTCTTGCAAGAGCCGGGTTTCCACACGTGTTCTGCAAAGTCACTGCACGCTGACATCTTCGGTTTGCTAAAAATAGGATTTGGTCAGACGTGGCGATGAGGGTACGTGGTGGACGGATGATGGAGACTCATGGCTGGCTAAGAAGAAAAAAACAGACACTGAGTGAAAACTTATTAAGGGATTTCTTAAATGTCTTTAAGTATTACCTTGCAACATCTTTGAATATTGACAAACTTTCTATGAACATCACTTTCATGCTTGTAAAGATGGGCAAATGCTAAATACAACACATAATGCCAAACTGGGCACACTTAACAGATTAAAAAGCATCCAAACATAAACCACTCAAGTTGCCACAATGGCAACAAAACTACTTGGTGTTGGGATAGGGAGGGCTAAGTGCACCCTATTACACCCTTTTAACCCTTGCCCTGACAAGGGGCAAGGGTTAAAAGGGGATTCGGCAAAAATGATCTGTGATCAAATCAAATTGTTTTGAACTAACATTTGAATCAAAAAGTTTAAAAAATACTTTATCCCCAAAGATAAAGAGAAAAAAACTCTGCGAATGGAACAGTAATCAGGTGCAAAAGTGTACTGGTAAGTGAAGAACCACTTGGGATACACGCTTAAAAACAAATAACTTTTACAGGAAATGACAATGAGGAAGGAAAGTTTCCAAGCTTGAGGCCTAAAGATGAGATAATGGTAAACCATGGGATGTAACTCAACAAGACCAAATATGTGCTGCTCGACATGTTCCCATAGCCTCCTAAATTAGAGGGCATGTGGTCTCTGTTCAACCAAAAGGCTTGGCGGAGTAAACCCAGAAACATGAAAGCCCTCCAAAGAGTCCTCAGCAGCCCCCCGACAGGCTACAAGAAGACCCAAGAGTCTCAAACATCCCGGAGGTCGGAATGTCAGGAATGTCTATAGGCGCAAGTCTCACCGGGGTGAATCTCACACCCAAGACAACCTCCCTTCCCCCTTCTGCACACAAACACACCCGACTCTCCCCACTCCACATGTGTCCTCCCACCCTCACAAACAAAACGGAGCCACACACACCCTTTGCTCAGAGTCGTCAAGCCCTGATTAACCGGACTGACAGTGGGATGAGAAACACTGTGTTTTCTTGCAAGTAGTGGTGTCTTAATGGTCTTTGCATAGCAATGACAGCTTCTCAACAAGGTGTTGCAATGAATCACACCTGGATCGGTTCATTCTACATCAGCAACTTGGTACAAATGGGAGAAAGCAAATCAAATCCTTAGTGATCATCAGATGTCTAGGACTTGAGAATGACAATGTTGCAGTTGAGTAATCCACTCAGGCATGAAGAGTTTCTCTGTTAACAAAGATAGCTTGTATATGCATTTTTTTCTTTGTACTGTCTGACTCAGTCTGAGCAGGAAAGCACCCTCCAGCTCACTGTTTGTTTAACCGTTCCTGCAACAAGTGAGGAAGCAGAGACTTGCCCAAGAGCTTACGGAGCTGCACACGAGTCATTCAAGGAGATAAGAGACTGGACATTGTTGGGATAATCTCGTTTCCTCCGACCCCTCAAATGAAAAACAAACACGCAAGTTGGTCATTCATAAAATCAAGGGGATGGCTGGAATTTTCTAAAATATTTTAGTGCCACCCGCATTGGCCAGACATGAGATTGGAAACCGTACTCCCACACTTGTCTACGTATACAACAGAGACAGACAACATCGTCTACATTCCCTACGCCTTTCTCAAGCTCAAGGTCCAATATTTCCCACTTCCTCTTGTAGAGCAACACATGGGAAAGAACGAATAAAAGTTCAACCATACAACAAGCTATAACTTTAAAAAAGGAAAGGAGAAGATGACAATCTAAAGAACGTGCCAGGCATCAGAGTCTTTTAGACCACTTGAAGCAACCAGATCGAACCTTGAACAAACCAACCTCGTCTCGCCTTGAGGAGCATAAACATAACAGTCAACAGAGTACCACCCGTAAAACATTTCTTACACACTTGAAGGGTTTTCATTCCTGTCTTGAATAAACAAAAAGTCTACAGTCTAAGGTGACCAACAATTCTAACTAGGCAAAGGGAAAGTGCCCCTTGCTAAATCTGACTGCAGCTGCAGGAACTTGATCTGTCACTCCCCAACTTCTTAACATGCAAAACGCAGTACTGTGCACGCCCTCATTTAGTGCAGGTCATCTGATGGTGTGCCACATTAAACAGAACCTGAACTGGATGAAATTCTCTCTGAAACAAAACAAAAAAGGTCTACTCAGGATTCAGGAAGATGCTGCTTGTTTACAAGCAACATTTGTCACGCCTGCTCTCTCACACACACACACACACACACACACACACACACACACACACACACACACACACACACACGCACGCACGCACGCACGCACGCACGCGCACGCGCACGCGCACGCACACACACACACACACAGCTCCATTCATTCTTGGGGGCACAACCTGTTCATTTCGTCAGGGTCTGGTGTGTGTGTGTGTGTGGGGGGGGGGGGTCCCTCTAAAAACTTTCCTCTAAACTCGCAACCCAGAGCTGCTTATTTAACATCCGTAATGTGGTCTTGTTTAATCTCATTTTTAGAATGAAACACGTGACCATTTTTATTTTTAATTAATTTAACTCTTTTTAAATTATGCTGACAATTTCCTGATTCCACTGATCTTAGCGAATAACATACTCCTGTCAGAATAGGCCATTGAATTTTTGTCCTTGTCCTTTCTTAAACCTAATTAGCAATTGAACCCAACGATTCATCACAGAGACAACGATACATTGGATTTATTATTAGACTAAATAAAGGTTTGGTGCGGCCAAGGTTATCCACTCCCCGGTGCTTACCTGCTTGGACTTTCTCCTCCCTGTCAGCGCAAAAGCCTTCTGATCCTGAAGATCTTTATAAAACAAACCTAAACAAATGTCTCGTAGCTGCTCCTGGTTCAGAGAAAGCCGTGTCCTCTAGCGTGAGCTCCAGAGGCGGAAGGTTGATTGTAGCCGCGGGCTGTTGGGCTCCAGTCGCGCGTTTCGCTGCTGCTGCTGCGCTCTGGAGAAGCGCTGAAGGAGCCGAGCTGAAATCCTCTGCACTCTGCATCTGCAGCAACAGCAGCTTGGGGAGAGCACACGGAGGTGGTGGAAGTGGGAGGAGCTCCTAACCAGCAATGCAGTCAGTAAGGGAGCCACTCACCGATTCCCCACCGTCTACCGCTGCTGGTGACAGAGTTAAAGCTCATGTAGATCTGCAACAAAATTAATGAATTGTTGGGATTTTAAATGGCCCCAACAACAGGCCTAACTTAGTTGTCATCAAGGGCAACAATAACAATTGCATCACCTTCTATATGCAATGTTTTATTCTGACTTTTAAAGTTATAACAGTTCTATGGTCTATACAAAACATTGTCATGAAGTGACTTTACCCCAAATCCCTATCACATAAAGAAATTTCAACCTAACTTTTTCAGCACCTTCCAAAATGAGCCGTTTCTGAGGTCTGTCAATCTGAAAATCCAAGCTGTTGCTGGCCACGCCCTGATAGGCTCAGTGTTGAAAATGAGAAATTAAGGGTTATATACAGGTTATATTACATCATAGGGAACCTAAGTATCCCTTTCCCGTTGGTTCATGGGTCCCCAGAAGAACGAAAAAACGAATGCAAGTCAACAGGGCTAAATAAGCTATTTTCTAATTTACTTTGCCTTACACCCTGGATGGCACACATGTTGTACTTCAATTTAAATGAAAAGTGATGACGTGTGTTTTGATTTTCCCTGTGTTTTTCTCCGTGTCTGATTTTGATGATGTCACTTTCCTGAAGCCATTTGTAGTCCTGGACATATTTTCACACAAAACCTAAAATAACATTTCCCCCATTCGAAAATAAGCTCTTTCTTGGTATCAAAATACGTCTTTAAAATTGACAGACATCATGTGTTAGATTCATGGTACACAACAAGCAGAATTAGAAAATAGCATTTTTAGCCCTGCTGACTTTCATCAATTTTTTCGTTCTTCTGGGGACCCATGGTCCAGAAGGAGATGGGCGTGACTTAGCAGGGGTGGACCTTTAAAGCGCCCGAGCGCCAATGGCGCTAAATTTTCTCGTCGGGCAGTAAATACTTAACAACTTAACGCCCGGGTGGCGCCCAAGCCTTGTTTGTCATTTATACACCGGCTTTCACCTACATCATGGCCCCGCCCTGTAGGAAGCTGCTGTTTTCGTTTTGCGCTCGTGAACCTGCGTGCCTCTAGCCAGTGGCCACTTACTGCACTTGTACGATTCGTGCACGTACTGCACGAGTCTAGTTATAGTCACGTGAACTATAAGTTCACTATAAAAGACGAAGTGGAACCACGCTAGAAACACACAAGCACGCAGGAAGATCGCGCCACCACAGGGATGGGATTTCTTGATGAAATCTCCGGCAAAACGCTTTAAAACTGGTGAGGAGAAGCGAGACAGTTCAAAACGGTATGAAGCATGTGCGTAGGTGGAATGATTCTTGGCGGTTTAAAGTAGACGGGAGGCGCAGAGAATGGCCGTGTTCGAGTTGAGCAGCGCCTCGCCTGGAAAACAGACGAGAGCAGACGGAAGCAGCAGGGGGAGTGGCTGAAAGCCGGCGTTTAAGTCCGACACAATTTCCTGTTTGTGTAGCTCGGGGGTGACGATGGATGAAGATATCGCGTTAGCGTTCCCACTTGTTTAATTTTCAATTTTAATTCTGGTGCCTGTTAGCAGCTGAAACACATCCTCACATGCTTGTGGATATCATATATTGTATATGTAGACATGACTGTAATAATAAGTAAAGGTTATCAGCTGTAGCTTCAGTGTGCTCATAGGAAACGTGACAAAAGAACACAAAACACATTTGTCTTTCTGGCCTATATAGTTGTCATCATCAACATAACATGATTTACAGAATACATGTGACCAACTAACATTTCATGTTCTACCACCGGATGTTTGGATCAAAATATGAACCAATCAGATCTTAGATCAGGTGAGAGCCAGGCGTTTCCCATCATCCCCTAGGTTTAGCAGCCGAGGGAGAGCAACTGCAGTGCCTTGTTCCAAAATCTGCGGCCGCCTTGATCTCACGAGGTTATCGTTGCCTACGTATGCATGACGTCAGAGCAAGTCGGCGTCAAGTCGGACACAAATCTAACCGGCATGCACTGCTCGCCGATCACCGGTGATCTAATCTGCGCAGAACTGGCTTATCTGGAACACAGCCAAAGGCTCGAATACAGCAAAGCGGAGTTGGTGATGCACTGCGTTGTATGCCGGAAGTATGCGACGACACAATCAAGTTTTGTTGAGGGAACAAACAAATTCAAACTTGAATACGTTATTATGTTTGTGAATGTGTACAAAATAAAGGTTTATTACATTTAAAACGGTTCAGTTGTTATTTTGACTCGTTTTGGCAGCTGACCAGCGGGGCCGGTAGATTCTTGGTGGGGCCGGTAAATATTCAGAGTTACCGGCCCGGCTGGCCGGTTGGTTTTGAAGTTGATGTCCACCCCTGCTTAGGCTCCCTATTATAGTTAAAGCACTGTGTTACATCCAAATGATTTGAATCCAGACATAACCAGTTGTGTCCTTTGTGAAAGCGCACATGCATTTAAATGTTAATTGCTATTGGGCCACAGTAGTTCAGGCGGTAGAGCGGGTTCCTTTTAATGTTCTGTGCTTCTTTTCAATCTCCATTGTTTTTCTTTTTCTTGCTTGATACCCAACGTGGCAAAATTTTTACCTTGAAATGCTGACAGTTTCAAGGGTCACACAGGTAGAGCAGGCTGTCCAGCAATTGGGAGGTTGCTGGTTCGATCCAGGCTCCCACCAGAGAATGCTGCTGTTGTGTCCTTGGGCAAAACGCTTAATCCACCTTGCCTGCTGGTGGTCGGAGGGACCGGTGGCACCTGTGTTTGGCAGTCTTGTTTCCACCAATGCGCCCCAGGGCAGCTGTGGCTACATTGTAGCTCATCATCATCAGTGTGTGAATGGGTGGATGACTGATTGTGTTGTGTTGTGAAGTGCCTTGGGGCAGTGAAGAACCCTATGGCCAGAGATGACCTCTCACCTGTTGTGTCTCACCTCGCTCCATGTCTCTGTAATAAAACATCACAGATCCTCAACTATTTTGATGAATGGGGACTCGACGGGTGAGAGGGATTCTATGCTAATGTTCCTCATTGTGAAGTCACATATTTCCCACTAAATCGACACGAAAGTAAAATAAAAGTAAATAAATAAATAAACTAAAACTAAATCAGCTTAAATGTATTCAAGAGATAAAAGTAGGAGGGCACCAAGGGGTTGCCCCCCCTACTGTAGAGCCTTGCACCCTATGCTTGCACCCTGTATATCTGCCCCTGCTTGTTTACAAACAATGCTTGCAATGGTTTTTTTTCATCACACAGCCAAGAGTGTTTCTTACTGATTTAAATGATAAATATATAATTTTAAAGGAATGGTTGTCAAACAGAGACAGACAAGCCAACGGCTAGTCTCCATGGCGTAAGACCAAGGGCGCCAGTTTGTTTTCAGAATTGCTGGGGACAATAACCATACACTTGAGTGGGGTTTAAAAATTGCTGGGGACAATAAAGTAGGCTAGCACAGGGGTCGGCAATTCGCGGCTCTGGAGCCGCATGCGGCTCTTCCATCCATCTGATGCGGCTCTCTGTGCTTGTAAAATAATGAATGGATATTTAAATAAAATGCTTTATATTTTACTGCATTAATTTTACACCTGTATGCCAATTCTAAATGTAAAGATTGTCTGCGTAAACCTGAACAGGTCCAACCCGGTCTTACTGTGAGACCGGGTTGATGGGTCACGCTTGTGCGTAATCATATGCGCTGTCTGAGCTGAAGATGTGAGATTCTGGGCTTCTCCTCAGACGGCTCATGGATGTGTCGCCACATTGGAGACAGGAACAAGCACTATTCAGCCAAAGTTTCATCATCAGGGAACATTTTCTAAGTGACAAGTCTCTCTGAGAGAAAGGGTTTGGAAAACACTTGTTTCAGTGGAAGGAATCTTCCCACATGCGCTCTGGTTCTCTGGGTGGCTCTAGGGTTAATCAAGTTTAATTGTTTCTCTTTGCAACAATCTTCACAGGAAGGCAAAACAGTTAAACGGCAGGTTACATATATTTCCATTTGACTGTTTATTTTGACAGATGAACTCAAGGATGTTGCTTGGTTTGAAAGAATTACCCCGACGCACACTGATGCGCATGGATGAGCTGACATTTTAATCGTTAACGCACATCGCGGAGGTAAAATATTCCCATCAGAACATCAGAGCTTTATACTGGACACTGTGTTCAGCGTGGCTCGGAGCGCCCACGGTGGACAGTGAGCTGAAGATCTGGGGTTCGCAGCGCAGTGCAGAACCACGCGCATGCGACAAGATTTCCTCCCACTGAAACAGTCTGGAAACCCGGTCTCTCTGAGGGATGTGTCACTTGGAAAAATGTTCTTTTTATGAAATTATGAAACTTTGGCTGAACAGCGCTTGTTCCCGTCTCTAATATGGAGACGCATGACGCGTAGAGACATTTGATCACGCACAAAGTTTATGTGGAGTAGAAGCGGTCGGGCCACGGCAGGTGAAACGTTCCTAGCCTACATGAAGTGTAACTGTTTAATTGTAACATTAATGTGTTACTGGACACGCTGGTCTGGTTAGTTAGACCAGTGTTTGAAGTGGAAAACACACACACACACACACACACACACACACACACACACACACACACACACACACACACACACCAATTAAAATAATGCTGATAGCGTGGACTAGAAGACAGGTGATGGTTTACGTATTTAAATGATGATCAGGCTGCTGTAAAATGTAATCTCCATCCACATCCAGACACAATTATCCTCTATTCTTTCTCTATTTGCTCTGCTCTTGTCTGGGCTGATCAGCTGATGGTGCGCGCGGCGCGCCTAACTAACGGCTGATGCACATTTTACGCATTTGGAGAGGTGGGCTGGATGCTTTGCTTTTACTGGAAGATGGTCCACTTAAGGCACGGGTGTGGACTAAATATTAATGACAAATGAATGAAAATTAAATTGT